GCTCTATTAGTTCCTTCGAGAGCTGGTAGTTTAAAAGACCCTGGCACCTCCCCTCTCTTGCTTCCTCCACCATGTGATCTGCTTGTACCCACCAGCTGCTGCCACCTTCCACCATGAGTAGAAGCAGGCTGAGGCCTGTGCCAGATGCAGCTGTCCCAGAATCATAACCCAAATAAACCTCTGTTCTTTATAAATTACCCAGTCTCAGGTATTTCTGTTACAGCAGCACAAATGGACTAATACACTCCATTTTCATGTAGCTCTGGATTTGGGGAATTTAACAGATTCTCCTTTGTTTCATCTTTTTCTCCTTATAATCCAAGATATCTGGCCCCAAATTCATTGTCTATGGCAGCACAGAGAGCTTCCTTACATCTCTTACATTGTCACAGTTTTGGTGACAGCACTCACAAAGAATTCAGAAGTAAAAGCTGTGCCCCACCCCAATACATGCATATCCTTCCAATCCAGGTGTTCCCATCCTCCCCAATACACCCCAATCCTTCCAATCCAGGTGTTCCCATCCCTCAGATCAGAAAGCATCTCACTCACATTAACTTTATTTTCCAGCTACTCTGCTTACCCTTCCAGAACCTGCAAAGGGATCAAGTTGAAGTGTAATGCCTTCAAGTTTCTTAATCAACTCAGTACCGTGCATCTTCAATGTAAAATGGTCATGTGCAGAGAAAACGGTAGATTGTCCCAGAGGCACTGGGGCTGCCATCCAGGAGCCAAGTGAGAAACCCATCCTGACCAGGGCAAGGTGGACTTGGGATGAGTTCTTCTACAGAAGGTGCCTTCTCTGTAGAAAGAATATGGCAACAGAAGGTCTCCATTGCTTTTCATGTTCTGTGCTCATGGTCAGCTGACCAGGGCAAACAGCTGAGTGACTAGTACAGTGTCTGTCTGACCCAAATATTCAGACTGCCTGCATTTCTAAGTACCTGTGTGATCATTTATCTATTCATCAAATATTATCATCTGGATGAGTTTATGTAACTCCAGGTAAGTGGTTAGGATGGATATGTACTTAATCCAGAGTGTTTTCTGAAACCTTTAAAAATTCAAATCTAAACCTAAGTTTATTTTCATATATACTTCCTAAAAGATGGTACACACATACACTTACNCTATTCATCAAATATTATCATCTGGATGAGTTTATGTAACTCCCGGTAAGTGATTAGGATGGATATGTACTTAATCCAGAGTGTTTTCTGAAACCTTTAAAAATTCAAATCTAAACCTAAGTTTATTTTCATATATACTTCCTAAAAGATGGTACACACATACACTTACGTGGTTAACTGTGGGTTATTTCTGGATGGTTCAAGGTAATTAATGTGGATTGTAGTTAATATTGCACCATCAATGAGATTGTTATTGAGAAGAGCTAGTAAGACAACATCCTGGCATACTCTTAACCCCATCTCTTTCCAAAGTGTTGGATTTATTCTCAGAGGTAACTTCAGAATCTCTGAGAATTTGGCTCAGTGAAAACATCACACCAGCCCCACTTGGTCTTCTTGAAACACCACACTTAGGTTGTGACTGTCCACACCAAGGAGATGGTAAGAAGTAGGCAAGTATTTAGTCAACTACCACCTCCATCAGAAACCAATGAATCATCGAACGTGGCCTTGGCGACTATCTGGTTTAATGTACTCATTTAACTGATGGGGACGTTGAGTCAGAGAGCCTGGTGACTTACAAAGCTGGTTGACAGCTGAACTGTAAGAGGAGCACTGATCTCATTTGTCATTCAAAGAGCTTTTACCACATTGGATAGTTGATTCTAAGCAACTTTTAGGGTCCAGATAGCTTTTAATTTTTTCAAAGTGGTTTAAGTTTTCAGATGATACTTTGTTATTCACAATTTTATACATGTTTAGGAAGTTATATTGACAGTGGAAATATTACTTTCCTTGTCCCCAAATTTCTAACCTTGTTTCAGTTGAAAAATTGGCCTATTTCTTGGTTTATACTGATTCTTTAGTCAGAATCCACTGATGATTTCAGAACAGTGCTACCTTTTCCAGAATCACCGTCGTAGCCATTACAGCCATTGATCCAATGCTTTGAACTGTTTTTCTCTTAGTTTGTAGCTATGGGCAATGGAGTTATCTGGGAAAATGGGAAAGGGTGGATCCTCCTGCTAATGACTCTCCCTCTGCTTGGAAGGGAGCTATGGTTCTGAAAGAACTCATCCTGAAAAGCCACCGGGAGCTAGAAGGGAACGTGTTCTTGTCCTGGGCAGCTGTAGGTCCCTGTGGACAAGTTCAGTGTCTCCTCAACTCTGTGAAGAGTTTCTGAGGACAGAGTGAGATTAACCAAGGGACATGTGTATACTTCAGATGCAGACAGTAAATGAATGGGTCATGCTTCCTAAATGCTGACTGTGCTGGCTTGAACTCAGTGTCAGCTTTCTGTCTTTTGAAAAAAATCCTCATTTGTTCTTGATGTCCCAAATTGCTGCATCTGATATACATGCCTGGAACTCAGGTTTAACCCAGAAGATACTTGGGAGGCTGAGAGCCCATTTCTCTGTCCAGCTCAGGCTCTGGTCATCCCCCAGCCCCATGGTCCAATGTCTAATGGGCACTTCAGACTTGTACCAAATCACTCAAGATCAAGAAAATGGCCTGGCCATTGTGGGCAAGCCCACAATTCAGAACAGTGACTTGAAGTCATGGACAGTGGTCAGCTGTCTTCTGTCTGGATGTATGGGAAAGAAAGAAGGAAGGAGTTGGGCTGACATGGTTGTCTGTGGACTGTGCTGTGCTTCTGGTATGATGAAGTCAGTGCCAGCCATGAAATACTGGCAGCTGGTAACTGGTTGTGAGTATGGCACAGAGCAGGTGTGAGGGTCATTGATGAGGAGCCAAGAGCTATCACAGGAACTGCACAATAGGCAGGGTCTTATGGCAGTGTGTGTGTGTGTGTGTGTGTGTGTGTGTGTGTGTGTGTGTTTAGAGAAGGCAGTGTGCAGGGAAAGCCTAGCCAACTTCTGGCTTCAAGTCTTTTCCTCCTATGAGATTCCATTTTTATATCTCACAGCACACGTGGAAGGGCCAGCTCTCCTCAGCCATCTTCGTTGTTGATGGCCAAATATCTGTAAAAAACAAGAGCATAACTCTTGGTAATGTCTTGCTGCCTTAGTTGTTGTCTTCTAGACCTGCCACCTTGGGGCACAGGCAGGGCCTTAAGGGACGTAGCAATAGCTGACTCCAGAGACCTTGGGCACCTCCTCCTGACATCCCAAGGGAATTGTGCCTGCTACAGCTGTGATGGGAGGGTGTGGATCACCAGGCTGCATTGAAGAGGAGAGTAGCAAAGAGATAAGGCTGGAATGGGCTGGCTCTGCCTTCCAAGGTGGAAGCTGTATGCCTAGATGGGAAGTGGGAGCATGGAACAGATCTCTGACTTTTAGGCTTGGGCAACCTCCTCCTTGAATAGTGTTCTTTTCCACATCTGGACCACAGGCTGGTCCCAGCTCCAAGGACTTTATGGTAGATTGATTGCAATAATGATTCCAACTGCACCTGCCTCCCTGTGTTCCTGCCCTTTTCAATATGGCCTCTCATTAAGACACGAAGTCCATTTTACCCACCCTGGCATCTCGGCTAGCCTTGTGTCTTGCTTTGGCCAACAGTAGGCAGCACAAGTGATATTGTGCCAGTTCTGAGTCTTGGCCTTATGTGGCCTTGCAAACTTCCACTCACTCTGTTGGGCCCTGCAATGGCCCTGTGAATAAGCCTGGGCTAGCCTACTGGAGGAGGGAAACATGTGGCCCACTCACACCCCATGACCCAGGTGACAGTTGTCAGCCCCCAGGAGGAGAGCTGCCTAACTGACCTGTAGCTGACCATAGACACATGAGAAACCCAGGTGAGATCAGGAGAACCACCCAGCTGAACTCAGCCTAAATTGCCGTCTGTTTTGTGTTGCTATAACAGAATACCTGCGACTAGATAATTTATAAAGAACAGAGGTTTATTTGGCTTATGATTCTAGGACAGCTGCATCTGGCACGGGCCTCAGGCTGCTTCTACTTATGGTGGAAAGTGGCAGGCAGTGAGTGGATATAAGTAGATCACGTGGCAAGAGGAAGCAAGGGCGGGGGAAGTGCCAGGGTCTTTTAAATAATCAGCTTTTGCTGGAACTAAGAGAGTGAGATCTCACTCACTACCCCCATCCCCCAGGGAGAGAATTAATGAGGGATCCGACCCCCTGACTCAAACAGCTCCCAACACTGCCACACTGGGGATCAGATTTCCACACGAGTTCTGGGAGGACAATTACATCCAAACTCCATCACTGACCCACAGAATTATAAGCTAAATTAATAATTGCTGTTTTAAGCCACTGAATTAGGGGATGATTTGTTTCACAAAAATCGCTAACTGATGAAAGCCCAATGGGAGTAGGTGAAAAGACCTGCTGGTAAGAGTGGGCGTGAACCGCCAAGAGTTGCCTGAACCCAGGAAGCCTCAGCAGCGAGGTCTTGCCTGGAGGACCCCCTGGAGACTGGGCAGAGGAAGCCAAGGTCCCAAAAGGAGACGGGATGAGAAGGAGCCTGGGGCACAGGTGTCATAAGGACCAGGACACTTAGTTACCCTGAGGAATAAATACAACTTTAATAATGGTAAGCATCAGCTTTGCACATGTACTCTTTCCAGACACTTTCTTCTTCTAGGCCGTAGGCATCGGTCACATCACTGGGGTGGGGTCCCCGTGATATCAAATCCTGCTTCATTAGCATTAGGTCTCCAGGGAATTCAGCCAAGCGAAACACATTTCGGTTCGTTAGGCCTGTGATGGACCGTTCCAGTTTCTTCGTGGGGAGGAATGGCTTGCAATCTTTTGGATGGTGAGCTAAACATTTTTTGGGTTGTTCTGACTTGAAAACTACGTTCATTTTTATCTCTCGTCTTTCTGTGTTTCTGTGCTCTGCCTCCTCTTTCTCCCCTTGCTTAACATTGTCACGATAATCATTGTCACAGTCGTCCTCCTTTTCCCTGGCCTTGCCTTTTGCTCCAGACAGGAAAGAAGTTCTCCTGAGCCTTTCGACATTGGGTAAAAGCTGCTTATTCCCCAGGGCTCGAGCAAGCTGCATCCTTTCTACGTGTCTGCTGACGTTGATCTTCTCTCGTTGTGGCATTTTAAACTCCTCTGGGAGCACAATCACCTTGGCTGTCCATATTTTTTCTAGGGGCCCGCAGGTAGAACATTGACAGGAATGGTCTTTTTTATATTCCATTGCCCGTTTGTAGTCTGGAGACAGCAATTGAAGTTCCTTGAGCATTTTTCGTTCTTCCTCTTGCTTATGAGACAAAAACCTTCTTGCTGCTATGGTGTGAATGCCACCTAGACGCTGACCATGGGAAGGGATTGTTATGATCTCAATGGCACAGAGGTAGGTGGCTCCCGCAGAAATAATCAGCTAGTGGCTGGTTCTCCCTCCACTGCTGAGGGCGTCTGAGGCCCCTGTGTAGTGGCAAAGAGGGTGGACCCTTGGGGTCAGGCAAGCCTGAGTTCAAGTCCTGACTCTCCCCTTGCCTACCGTGAATTCAAAATAATTTTACTGAATGATGGGGTCACTGTGAGGCCTCAACAAGAAAACGTACATGAAAGCAAACAGTGCAAGGAAGAAGTAGCTCAAGAAATGACAGTTTTCATCATTTATTATCATTTATGGTTATATTTCTAATTGGGACTTTTAAATAAGAGTACTTTGCTATGCAAGTGTGGAAGCCATTGGTAGATTCAGCCAACTTGAGTCTACTGTTTGGGAGACTTCACTGTTGCCAATGGCTTTTGAACCTTTGGCTCCCTCCAGCTAAACTGGCTGGCTTCAGTGGGGCCCCTCTGTGTGTAAACTTCAGGGCACTTACTAGGATCTCTTTTTCCAAGGGCGAGTATTTCCCAAGGGCAATGCGTGGATCCGATTTGTAGAATTTGGTCCATATCCTGGAAGGCAGAGAGGCAGATATATTAGAACTCCAGAAAGGGCCTCTTGCAGTGGAAAACCTCACAAAGGGTGATTCTACATTAGCCAGGCTGAGGTCACCATGAACAGGGGTTTCTGTAGCGATCTGGGGGGCTCCTCCACTCAGACTTGTTCTGATAAGAGTGGACAGGTCACACTCACCCCAACGGAGAAGCAGAACATGAATCTTCTTGGCAACACAGGGAATCCTCGTTCTGAAAGGAATAGCTGGTATTGCATATTCTGACTGACTTTCCATTCTTACTTGACTTCCCCTCTGCAATCTTCCTTTCTTGGGCCCTTGGCTCTCTAGCCCTCTGTTTTCTGATCCTCTGACAGCAATTCTCCCATTCGCTGATCATACTCTGGCAACAGGCAAGGATGGGAGGTGTTAATGCCTGGAGTTTGTTTCTAAGACAAGTTAATGGGAGCCCAAGGGACAGTCACAGATTTCTTGCACCATAATTGGCCTACATAATTGATGCTATTATGAGGTCATAGTTTAAAGCATCAAATGGTCCCCTAGGTGAAATGGACACACACTGCCATGCTCCTGGCATGTTGGAGCCCAGAGCAGAAGAAGAGAATGGCCGGAGAATGTGGCTGAGAGGTAACTCAACCATACCACTGCCACTGACGAGCCCACAGAGACTGCTCAGTCCTTACACACTGAAGATTCAGCCAGGTAAAGTCTCTCTGTCTGGTATTTGCTTGCCTCTCCAACCTTAGCTCTTCAAGCTTGATCAATGCCACTCTACCCATGGTTCTTGGAACAAGCATCTAGGCTACTGTTCATGTCCCCCAATGTCTCAAATACCTCTCTGTCCTTTGGCAACTTGCTTGTGTCTCAGGGCCCAGCTTGATATCTGCCTCCTCTGAAGATCTCCTTACAGAATAAATCCCCTCTTTGTCCATATTCTCCCAGCATTTCCTATATCATGCTATGGCACTTTGTCACATATTGACTTGAGAGCCTATTGCCAGAGTATGACCAGAGTAGAGGTCTAAGTCTGTCTCTCCTTCTGCTTGAAAGCAGCATCTACAACAGCATCTCAGTCTTCTTTGTGGTATGGGCAAACACTTAGCTTACTGATTCAGTAAACAATTGTCTTGGGTCCCTGGTCAAAGGTGGGGACAAGAATGTTGCTGGTGGGAATGGCTATTGCCACAGCCCCCATGGAAGGTAATTTGGCAATACATATCAATAATTACAAATGCACTTACCCTTTGACTCAATAACATGAACAAAATAAAATATGCACGAGATTAGTCACTGCAGTCTTCTCTGAGGTGGCAAACATAATGGGCAAACTCAAATGTCCATTAATAGGGAATTGGTCAGAAAATTTTGGTTATCCACACAATGGAATACTATATAGGAGGATAGGACTATAGAAGTAATAAAGATTAAAGAAGGAAGACTTTTATTTATATAAAAATATCTGTAAGGAGCTTCAGGCAGCCACTGCCCAGCAGAAAGCAAGAGCATGCCCAGAGTCTGAGGCAGGAGACAAGGACAGCACCCTCTACCCAGCAGAAGGCAGTAGCACGCTGAAAACATCACTTCCATGTGGGAGGTCCACAACAGCCACTGCCACAGCCACTGCTACTTCACGAGCAGTTCACCAGCACAGTAGCAACCACAGCCACTGTGCAGACAGCTCGCCACCCACTTCACTGCATTGACACAAGGAGAGTCACCAGCAGAGACCAGAAAAAGAAGAGAAAGTCTCTCTTCTAAAAGCCCACTCTGGAGTAATAGGAGATGCAATTGCTCTACCAGATGACCAAACATCAATGTAAAGATACTGGAAATATGAAAAACCAGAAAATATAACATCACCAAAGGAATACTGAAGTACCAGATCCTATAAAACAGGAAACCCTTGAAATGACTGAAAGGAATTCTGAGCAACAAAAATAAACTCAATGAGATATGAAAAGACTCAGACAACATAATGAAATGAGAAAAAAAATACAGGATAGGAAGGAGGAAATTTACAAAGGAATTAATACCTTAGAAAAGAGTGTAGCAGAACTCATGGAACTGACGAATTCATTCAATGAAATAAAAAACACAACCAAAAGCTTAAGCAGCAAGGCTAGATCAAGTAAAAGAATTTCTGGTCTTGAAGATAGTCTTTTTGAAATAACTCAGGTGGACAAAAAAATACATAAATAAAGGAAAAAATGATTTTTTAAAATTAAGAAAATCTAAAAGTGAGCAGACAACCTTAAGCACACAAACATCTGAATCATGGGTGTTCCAGAAAGGGAGGAGAAAGGAAAAGGCATTGAAAACCTATTCAATGAAATAATAATGGAAAAGTTCCCAGATATAGGGACAGACACAGACTTTCAGATCCAGGAGACTCAAAGATCCCCAAACAGATTCAATTCAAAAAAATCCTCTGAGACACATTATAGTCAAACTGGCAAAACTCAAAGTCAAAGAGAGAATCCTGAAACCAGCAAGAGAAAAGTGTCAAGTCACCCACACGGAAGCCCCTATCACACTAACAGCAGACTTCTCAAAAGAAATTCTACAGGCCAGAAGAAAATGGGATGGTAAATTCAAAACACAAAGAAAAAAACTGCCAGACAAGAATACTATAACCAGTATATCCTTCAGAAATGAGGGAGAAATAGTGTATTTCCCAGACAACAACAACTGCAGGAGTTCACCACCACAAACCAGCCCTGCAAGAAATCCTCAAAGGAGTCCCGCATCTGGAATCTGAAAAACAATGATCACTACCACAAATACACAAGAAAGAACAAACTCATTGGTAGAACAAAATGTAAATGAGAAAGAGAAAGAAACTAAATCTTACCGCCTCAAAAAAACAACATATATCAAAGATAAACAATAAAAGGGGAAGAAAGGAATCAAAGATATTTAAAACATCCAAACAAAAATTGATAAAATCCAAAGAGTAAGACATTACCTTTCAGTAACAACCCTAAATGTAAGTGGATTAAAGACACAGACTGACAGATTAGATTTAAAGCTAGACCCAACTATAAGCTGTCTTCAAGAGATCCACCTCACTTGTAAAGACACATACAGGCTAATAGTAAAGGGATGGGAAAAGATATGCCACACGAATGGAAACAAAAAATGAGCAGGATTACTATTCTTACATCAGACAAAATAGTCTTTAAGCCAAAAACCATAAAAAGAGGCAAAGAAGGCCAGTATATAACAATAAAGGGATCTACCCAGCAGGAAGACATAACAATCATAAATATACATGCACCCAACAACAGAACACCCAGATATATAAAGTAAACACTGTTAGACCTAAGGAAAAAGATAGGCCCAAATATGATAATACTTGGGGACCTGAACACCCCTCTCTCAACATTGGACAGATCATCGAGGCAACAAATCAACAGAAAGACACAGGACTTAAACCACACTTTAGACCAATTTGGCTAGGCAGATATCTACAGAACATTTCATCCAACAACCACAGAATGTACATTCTTCTCACATGCATGTGCAATGTTCCCCAGGGCAGACCACATGTTAGGTCACAAATCAAGTCTTAACAAAATTTAAAAGAGCAAAATCATTCCAAGTATCTTTTAAAACCACAATGGATTAAAACTAGAAATCAATAACAAATGAAACTCTGGAAACTATACAAACATGTGGAAATTAAAGAATATGCTCCTGAATTAGCCATGGTTCCAAGAAGAAATGAAATAGGAAATCAAAAAATTTCTTGAAACTAATGAAAATAAAGTCATACCAAACCTGAAGGAAGCTGCAAAAGCAGTACTAAGAGGGAAGTTTATTGCAATAAATGCTTACATCAAAAGAATAGAAGAATTTCAAATAGACAACTTAGGGCTATACCTCAAAGAACTAGAAAAACAGGAACAATCCAATCCCCAAATTAGTAGATGGAAAGTAATAATTAAGATCAGAGCAGAACTAAATGAAAGAGATACAAAAAAGTGATGCAAAAGATCAATGAAACAAAAAGCTGTTTTTATTAAGAAGGTAAAAAAAATAGACATGCCATTAGCTACACTAACTAAAAAAAGAAGAGAGAAGACCCAAATAACAAAAGTCAGAAATGAAAAAGAAAACATTACAATCAATACCACAGACATACAAAGAATCATTAGACACTATTATAAACAACTGTACACCAAGAAATTTGAAAACCAGGGGAAAATGTATAAATTTCTGGACACATACAAACTATCAAGACTGAACCAAGGGCCGGCCCGGTGGCGCACTGGATAGTGCGCCGCTTGGGAAGCGCGGCGGCGCTCCCGCCCGAGGGTTCGGATCCCACATACAGACCGGTTCCCGCTCACTGGCTGAGCGAGGTGCGGGGGCAACACCGAGGGTTGCGATCCATTGCCGGACACGGAAAAAAAACAAAAAACAAAAAAAAAAAAAAAAAAAAGACTGAACCAAGAAGAAATAGAAAACCTGAACAGACCAATAACAAGCAATGAGATTGAAGTAATAATCAGAAGTCTCCCAACAAAGAAAAGCCCAGTACTGGATGGCTTTACTGCTGAATTCTACCAAATTTTTAAGGAGGAATTAATACCAGTTCTCTTCAAACTATTCCAAAAAATTGAAACAGAGACCATTCTCCCAAACTCATTCTGTGAGGTCAAGATCACCCTGATACCAAAACCAGACAAAGATAAAACATAAAAGAAAACTACAGGCCAATATCTCTGATGAACAAACATGCAAAAATCCTCAACAAAATACTAGCAATAAGAATACATCAAAACATCAAAAAAAATTATACACCACAATAAAGTGGTATTCATCCCATGGATGCAAGGATGGTTCAACATATGCAAGTCAATAAATGTGATACACAACATCAGCAAAATCAAGAACAAAAACCATATGATTATCTCACTAGATGCAGAGAAAGCATTTGACAAAATTCAACATCACTTCATGATAGATTCTCAGCAAATTAGGTATAGAAGGAAACACAACAAAAAACATAATAAAAGCCATATATGACAAACCCACTGCCAATATCATACTGAATGGGAAAAGTTGAAAGCTTTTTTTTTTTAGAGCAGGAAGAAGAGAAAGATGCCCACTCTCACCACTCCTATTTAACATAGTATTGGAAGTACTAGTAGCCAGAGCAATCAGGCAAGATAAAAAATAACGGGCATCCAGACTGGAAAAGACAAAGTCAAATTGTCCCTGTTTGCAGATGACATGATCCTATATATAGAAAAAACTAAAACTTTTTAAAAACCTTTAGAGCTGATGAATAATTTCAGTAAAGTTGCAGGATACAAATCAACATACAAAAATCAGTAATATTTTAATATTCCAATAACAAACTGGTAGAAAATA